CAGCTTATGTCGTAACTATGGATTGAACTCTACTGCACATTTGATTTATGATAGTTAGAAATTAACGAGATACAGTACATCATATTAATATGTATCATTTAAGTTGGGCTATTAAGGCTTTAATGCATAAATTAAAATGATTTTTATTTGAATTAAAAAACTTTTGGTCAACTTGTAAACTACTTGATTAAAATAGTTCAGATTTTTATGCTAACGAAGAGGATTGTATATTGTATAATCTGAATATGGATACAAAAGATTATCGATGCGGATTTTATCAAAATAATTCGAGTTGTATATCAATGGACTGCATCTTTAGTATGCATGTATATACGTACAGCACAAGAGCAAATGCGTAAATTATAAAAGTGATTAATTATCTGATATATAATGATTATGAGTAGAAATGCGATCTGTTACTATTTTTTATTATAAAAACTGCGTTAAAATATAAAAAATAGTTCGAATCACATTTTTAATTATTATCTAATACTGATATAATTGAATTTTATTAAAAACAAGAATTGTAGAGGTTAGAACTAGTTTGCACATGTAAATTTGTAGGTGCTGCACCTATACAATCACTTGAGATTGTTGTTCAGTTGCACGATTATGCAATGATTTTTTAGTGAACATAGATATAGGTGACAAATTTTATTAAATAAATATATTTATATTGAATTTTTGGCCAAAAAACGCACTTTCGCTTTATAATTATACAATCAGACAACAATCAGGTGATTGTATGGGTGTGCAGTATCTCGAATATGAATATGCAAATCATGATAAATCCGAATTACAAATAAAACTGGATTTTGATTTTTCTAATTCGACAAAACCAGTTGTTTTAAGATAAACTATTTAAAGCTGGTTTATTGAATATCTGATATATGCATGCATATATAGGGGTAAAATATAAATTGTAAAAATGATTGGTTATCTGATATCAATATGCTATGAATTAAAGTTAAAAAACAAGATTTATTTTGGTTATCTGATACCGATATGTAATGAAATAAATTATAGTTAAAAAACAAGATTTATTTTGGTTATCTGATACGTATCAGCATATAGTTCAGTTAAAAACAAGGTTTATTTCGAGATTAAAATATATTAGATTTTTATATGTAGTTATAAAGAGTCAGCAATCTTAAAAAAAATTATATAAAACGATGTCTTAAAAACATTAAATCATAAAAGCTTTGGTATCTAAATCTTGTATAATTAAAAACTTTAATTCTTTTTAAAAAAATATGAGGATTTATCTATTGATACTTATTCTAAAGCTGAAACTATTTTAACAACACCTTCGGCTTCAAGTGCAAATAGTTTAACTCGAAAGAAATGAAAAGCTACATTGCTATCTGTCAAAACAAGCACGAAATTTCATAGTAATCGAAGTCATACATCCTATTTTTTTTATTCAGATTTAAATGATTCTTCTATTGCTTATTGCAAAGTATGCGAAATGAATCTATCTGGTACACGAAAAAAGCCTTATCCATATAATCGAAGAGGTAGAAATACGACAAACCTTATTAATCATTTACGTGATAAACACAGTATTACAAAGGAAATTATTTAGAATTTTTGGATGAAGATAATGAAGTACTGTATATATAAATTGTATTATTTTTTAAAATTAAAATTAAAAGTGATTTTTTTTTGTTAATACTTGTAGCCTCGACGTGATCAAACTAAAATAACTGAATATACGAAGACACCATGTTCAATAAAATGACAAGAACTTATTACTCAAATGCTTGTTTCTTTTATTGTTAAATTTGTTCAACCTCTATATATTTTACAAAATCTATCTTTTCGAGAACTTCTTCTTACTTGTGAGCCTGGTTACAGAGTCCCGTGTGATAAAACAGTAAAGGGCATAATTTATGATTCATTTATATGGAGTAAAGAACAGCTTCGCTTACTTTTAAGTAATGAGGTTGCTATCCACTTAACTACTGATTTGTGGACGGCAAAATCTCATCATGGTTATCTTGGCATAACAGCAACGTGGTTAACATCTAATTTTGAATTTCGTAAAGCACTTTTATCTTGTAATCACTTTCCGTATCCACATTCAGGCGAGGCTATTAGTGCTAAATTATCTCAGGTTATTAATTATTGGAATTTATCAAATACTATATTTACTATTGCAACTGACAATGGTATAAATATGATAAAGGGTGTTCAACTATTAAATGAACGATTTTTGCCACAAGTTAAATGGTAGCCGTGTGTTGCCCACACATTACAGCTTTCTGTTTTGCAAGGTTTAAAATAATACAAACAAGTACATCGTCGTGTAAAATGTTTGCAAGCCTTTTTCTGTCTTCCAAAACAAGCTCAAAAACTTAGAGAAGCACAAAAAAATTCTGGGCTATTACTCGAAGATAATTATCATAATCCACTTGATGTTTTAACAAATGTTAAAACAAGGTGGAACTCTGTATATTATGTCTGGAAAAGAATATTAGAATTACATAATTCAATGTGATCAGTTTCTACTACGTTGCTAGCAAAGTCTGATCGATTATCACAACAAGAGGGAAAAAAATTAGAGCAATTGTGTTTGTTCTTTGATGAAAAACAGTAAGTAGGAATCTGTACGAACTAGATGAATTTTCTAATTCATATTTAAATTACATACTTTAAAATAATATTCAGAAGTATTAATTTGCACAAATATAGTAATAAATATATAAATTAAGTTTATTAAAATATTTTTATATTATGGGCCATATTAGCTAATAAAAATTATTTTATTAAGGCCATACAAACTTATAGTTTTGGTTTTCATATCCCGGCCGGGTCAACAAAATAGAATTTCAAAAATTTTTTTTTTAATATATCGGCCAATAGAAATCCTCCGTATAATAATGTGATCAAAGCGACTTAGAATACATATTTATAATTTCATGTTACATATTACCATTCCTATTACATAATCTGTACTTCAAAAAAACTATTTATATGCTAGTGTCAAAGCCGTACGTACGACATGCTATACAGAATTGATAAGTTTTTTGACATTTGTAACTGACTTATTGATTCGGTTACTAGAAAATATGATAGCTGAAACACCGGCCACATAAAGCCGTTGATGGCATAAATCAAAAGATTCGGATAAATTTCAGCACGGGATATAACAGTCAATTTTTTTAACACATATATATATATGGGGTCTATGCTAAATTTGTAAACCTCAGGTCTAGCGCTAATCTAAACATATTGTTTATTGTTATTACCATGTTACTAATTTTGATAAACTCTTAATTTTATTTGACAGTATAAGAATCATTATCCCTGATCTCCTGATAATGAGAACTTGGCGGGAATTTTTAATTTTGGATATTATTTTACAGATTCTTAACAGTAATAGGAACGGCGGGTGCTTGTATTTGTTATGAGTGAACGAATTTTGTGGATTCGGAATCTGCGCAGATTGATTCTGAACCCACTCAAATTGATGTGATTAATTGTAGCACTTACGAGTAAACCCGAAATAAAATTCAGCCATAGACTAAACTCACCCGTTTACAGATTTATTACCGGGCTACAAACTGAGACATTTCTAATAATCCAGTGACTGTTAACTTAGTTTATAGAATAGACCGGGTTTCGAAGTTAATAATTAAGTGGCGCATTTTGAAATTAAATGAGAATTCGAAAAATCTTGTTTTTCAAAATTTTAAAATCGGAAAATGAAATGGGAGTGTTTGGAGATTTCCATTTCATGAAATGAGTGCTGCAGAGCAAAAACCTGGAAGTGAACATTTAAAGATTTTACTATGGCGAGTTTAGCCCCTGATGAATTCTGATATTACGTAATTAATCATATATACGATCAGTTTCGATAGTATATATCATTTTAATATAGAAATACAAATTAGGCTCATCGGCTCTATTAATTAACCGATTTTTAAATTACCGAAATTACCAGAACACTGATTTTCAATACGTAATGTTGCAATTCATCAGGGGCTAAACTCGCCATAGTGAAATCTTTAAATGTTCACTTCCAGGTTTTCGCTCTGCAGCACTCAAATCAGAGAATTTCTATCATACTTCGGGCATTCTCAAACGCCTCAATTAATAGGTTAAAGTATGTCGAAAAGGTATCGGGTATTAAATTTTAATTAACGGAAAGTATTTTTAATTAATCAATTGAAGAACTTGTCATTAAGATAAATAAGGTAGTTTATTACGTGAAAGAAATCAGAACCACCTTTTTTTCTGCGCTGACTTATCAAAACTTTATAAATATTAAAATGAACAAAGTAATGCTCAAGTATTTTATATTTTTCATTATAGATTTTCATAATTGACGCACATTTTTTGTAAAATTTCAATAAACTATTAGAATCACCTCAAGTAGTGATTGGGATCTATATTTTGATTTATTGTTGCAATTGAGCATCGCTATAATTATTAGAAAATCGCAGTAAAAGCAATGTTTGAGCATATCTCAATAATATCGTTATTCGCATTATTGATGATAACTAAAATTATGTCATAATACTTGTGCACTATTTCTCATAAAAACTTCGTTCAAATTGAAAAGATCAGATTGCCGGATCACTTATTTCAAAATAAATACACACCAATTTCAATTAAAATTAATTTCCGTATTTTTTAACTTTGAAACCCTCTATTACTAAAGCTTTATTAATCTGCAACGTATCTTAAAAAAAATTTTTAAATAGAAATTTTTTACCGGGTATCCAGGTTGTGAGATGATAAAACTTGTAAGTAAAAATTTTTTTTATTAAAAATTTTTTTTTAAAAAAAATTTAAAACCCAGGTTGGCGGGTCATGAAAGGTCAGTTGGTGATATGAAAACCGAAACTATAAGTTTGTATGGCCTAAATCACGCAAATTTCTAGATAAAGTTTTATATTAATATAATATTAGCAATTATTTATTTATTTATTTATTTATTTTATTTTATTTTATTTTATTTTTAATTTATTTTTTTTTAACAAGATTTCTCCAAGATGCGGTAAAACTTTTAGCACCATTCGAAAAAATAACACGTCGAATTTGTGGGGCCAAATATTGCACTTTAAGTCTTGTTCATTCTTATATAGAATTACTAAAAAAGTCATTTGCACCTAATCATGAAAATGAAGAAACTTACGAGACATATCTTAATTTAATATATGGCCCACAAAGTGAAAATGATAATGAAGAAATAGGAGAAGAATCTGAGAGTTCAACAAGTGAGGAAGATGAAATGCCATCTGGTGGTTCAAGAAAGCATTGGCAGTATACTCATCATCAATTTCAACAAAAAATG